TCCTCGAGATCTTTCTAAATCATGATTATCTTCTAGGAAATATGCATCGCATCCCTCTAGTTATAAATAACTAGACTTGTGATTGGCTGCTGCTTTTAATGGACATCCGTTTCTTTAATTCCATCTACTAAACTCGCAGGTACATTATTTATTTTTATTTTAAATCTTGATTATCTTATGTTCTGGTTGATATATAAAGATAGAATGTCTAAATTCACCTTCTAATTATAGTTGATAGATCCAACCTTCTACACGAAACATAGGTAAATTGCCCTGCTAATTAACTGGATGAGACAACTAACTAAAAAATTTTTTGGTGCAAGACATATAATAACATCATGCCACATCATTACTCTATTAGAGACTTATTAAATATATGTTGTTGAAATATATTTTGCAACCAGTCTCTCCCATACAAAATTATCACCTTAAACAACGTTAAATCATGCACTGCATCTTACATTTTGCAAGACTAATTACCAATGTCCTTAATTTTTATTGGGTTTTTATCAAGTAAGTGAAGGGATTCCTAGCAACTAAATCATCTTTTTCAAAGATAAACTTTTTTGAAAATATTGAATAGTGAGGAAAATATTTATTTAAAGGAGAAGACAAATGATTGAATCTTATTTTAGAATAGATAAAAGATGAAAATAATATATTTACCCATTTACTTCTAGGATTACTGAAATATATTTTTATCTATCCTAAAATAAATCTCCTCTTAATACTTTTAAATTGAATGAAGTTAGCTTTTTTATATTTCAGTTGAAATAAATTAATCAAAATTTATCACATGACATGTCATCATTTTGTCTTTCCCCCTCCATACCTAGGTCTTTCTTTTATATGTTATAATAGGAAACAGTTGCACAATTATTGATCACTTTATAATAATAAACTAATTTTGCACCTTTCTTGTTGTAACCTTATTGGATATCTTTTTGCAGATTCATTTCATTGGCATTTTCCAGGCATCTTCTAGGAAATTTCCAACTATAATTTGGACAAGTTCCCTCTTCTGCTTAGCCGGCTACAATTTTTGTCATCTAACAGAAGTAGCCTTGCAATTGAATTAATTTACTGCTACGTCTAATTCTCTTGGCCTCACTGATTTGGTTATCATTATCCATTTTCTACAATTTCTTTGGTGAAACATACAGGTATACCATCTAAATTTTTTATCTTGATTAAGTTATATTCTCTTTGAGATAATAAAATAAAAATATCTAAATTTTCTAACAAATGCGTATAACTTTATTGGCAAAGACTCTTCACTTTAATTAGGATATTCCTCATTTTTAAATTATTTTTAAATTGACTTTATAAGCTGATGGGCTGCCACTTGTAATTTGGTTATCCTCGTTCATTTTTTCAATTTCTTATGCTAAACTCAAAGGTAACACTAATTATCTTGATCTTCAATCTTGACTTTATTATGTTCTCATTGATGTATAAAGGTGAATGGCCTAAATCCATCCTTCAAGTGACTCTGTTTTCTAATGAAAGATCCAATTATTTACACTACTAGAAAAATTGGGTATATAGACATACGGTGTCAAATAGTTAATATAGGATATCAAAAAATTAATTGACACAAAATTAATATTGTCAAATGTCTATATAAAATATAAAATAATTTTTTTTCAAATAATATTTTACGCTACATCCAAAAAAATATAAACATTCCACATATTTAACACTGCAAAGTGATGTCAAACAATTAACTAACACTCAA